AACAAACACGTATTTTTTTATTTTGATATGTTCTTATACTAGAAAATAAAGTTATCGCTTACCAAAGATCGTGACTTTAAAACTAAATTTATGGACACCGCGCGCCGTGCGTCAGCTGAGCGCGCGTTCGACGCCGCAGGTAGGTATAAGTATGTAGGTATCTACACGGGTTACTGACCGCTCATTTTGTAAGATTCGAACTAGAATTTATGCCATGATCTGAGGTGATTTGTAAGAGTTATTCCAATTTTCCCTTCATACTTTTATGGTTAAGGCCATTTAAATGCAAAAAATAAATAAAAGAGAAACAAATTAGTTACCTAGAAAAAAATATTAACGTAATGCCGAGGTAACATAGGTACTTCTGGGTTAAGGCGTACTATGTATCCAAATGTCTCCCAAAAGACTCCCAAATGGCAACGCGCGGAAAGCTCATTATATTTATTATAATCTGTATTGAATTATGGAATGTGTCTCAGACCATTGGGACTAGTACGATTTTATCTCTCAAATTATGAAATAAATTATGTGATTATTAAACAAGACCTTATTCACATAAGCTTATAGTATAATATAGCTGCCATATATACCTAATTTTATTAAATAATCTAAACGATTGGTCACATTTGTTTGCGCGATAGATGCATTTCTTTTTAAATAACAATAATTTATACTTAAGATAAAATATGCTTTATAAATTATACTTTTTTATGACTAGAAAATGTATGACTGATACTCTTAAATAATATAAATGCATTTATAGGATATGTTAATAATATCACAAACTATATAAGAATTTTGCTAACATTAAAATTACTGTTTCTAGTAGTATGATTAATACTTTGTTTTAATAATTTTATTTTTATATGTGATTTATATAAAACATACCTATAGGTATGTATGTATTTTTTAAGCTAATACACATAAAAAAAAACTCGAATAAATGTATTAAACAAAGAAAGTTGTTTTTTTTTTTTCTGCTCCTAAACAAAATGTGATTATATAGCCTACTACAGTCAACAGTACGTCAGGTGTTACAAATATGTCAATGCTTACAACCAATAGTAAAATATTTCGATTAATATCCCTACACCATGGGGTTCCATAGTACATATCAAATGCACCTTTGAATTAAGAACCTTGGGGAACCACGACTCATGGTCAAGCATTCATGTATGGTAGCTGGTGATTGCCACTTATTAATTGTTTTTTTTTTTTTTTTGTTAATACACTGTTAGGGAAAACTAAATAAAATTTAAAATAATCTTTAATTATATGAAGAAAGGTCAAACTGAATAACGACTATTCATTGAAACAAAATATTTCTTCTTGGAATTGGCAATCAATATTCCAGATACTATACATTATTTTTGTAACTTGACATCTATTTGGAAGAAAAATGTCTAATATAAAGACCAGTCGTGCAAAAAAAATAATAGCCTACACATTTACAAAATTTACCCGCACACAAATTATGCTTATCGTTTAAAAATGGCAAGACATCATTACCTTAAGGCCAATGTTGCATCATCTCGTGAGATCTTTTCAAAACAATCATCCAATGCTTTGAAGGGAGTGTTTGAATTGCAACAACTTGCTGAGATTCGTGTAAACCAAGTCTTGTGGGTTTGATATAATAAAATATATCAATCCGAGGATAGACAATACCGCCCGCCATATTGAAAAATGAGTCCATGTATGGTAAAACGTTGGTATCGTGGGCTGAAATCAAAAATAAAGACAAGATTAGAATACATTTTACTTTTATTTATTTACGAAAAATCTTAGATGTATCCATTCAAGCGAAAGAAATAGGACTATCACAGACATAGCCCTTCTCAGCTTCAATGTATCCATTTCTACCATACCGTTATTTGAAATTATGAGATCCTATTAATATTATAAAGGCGAAAGTTTGTAAGTATGGATGTATGGATGTTTGTTACTCTTTCACGAAAAAACTACTGGACGGATTTGGATAAAACTTTACAGCAATATAGGTTATACATCAGAATAACACATAGGGTACTTTTTACTGGGAAAACTTCTCACTCCCACGGGATACCGACTTCCACGCGGACGAAGTCGCGGGCGTCCACTAGTTATTAATAAAAAACAAAAGTAATGGTAGTTAAACTTAAATGGTAAGGCATAGAAAAATAGTTTTTTTTTTTGGAAATAAACATCATTGTTCAATTCTAAATATCTATAACATGTGAGACTGAATTGAATGGCAAGTTTTTTTCAGGCAGATCTATAAATTTTTCGATTGGTGGTTGAGTAATGGCAAAAAAAATATTATTTAAAAAAGACTACAAATATTTGGCATAAAAAACATAAATATACTAAACTCTTTAGGAGTCTGATAACTTACACCTAGTTGCACAAATGTCCATTAAGTTTAATGACTCAATAAGACTTTAAGCTGTAACATATGTTCGTAATTTGAACATTTGTACTGAAAATGTTACTTTAATTAAACTAATGACAATTTGAATGCAACTGAATTTTAGTTGGAAGATACCCGAATAGCGAGTTATCAGTCAGTCTTGAACTGACCTAATATTCAGTTGTTTATACAAAAATTTTAATATAAATATAAAAACCACAATATTATAATTATACAATGCATTTTTTCAAATATAAACAGCAGTATATTATTTTGTGCTATGTTAAAAAATAAGACTAAACAGAATATCGTTTTTAAAAACCGACCGTGGTGACGTTGGCGGTGATGTTGTTGACTAGCGGCGAGTACTGGTAGACCATCAGCTCGTCGTACATGCGCGCGGCCGTGCACGCGAGCATGCACGACGCGTACAGAATCACCAACACTATCGGGCGGAAGTACGGCTGCAGCCCGCGGCTCAGGTCCAGACTTGTCATGTCCAGTCTGTAATACAATCTGCCTTAAGCGATGATCTATAACACTGAACTTAATCTAGTTTATCTACACTCAAATCAAAAATTTGAATTACGAATTCAAAGACGATTCTATAAATACGCACTTTATAAACGAATATACATAAAATTAAAAATAAAACTCATTATAGTACCGCCAACTTTATCATAATACCCATTATAGTACCACAATCTTTTTTATTCATTAAACTAGTCAATGGTTTTAAGTTTAAACTGTGAAAAAAAATGGCGCACGCATGTGTTGAAGTTGTAGTTTGAGCTTAATTTCTCGCGCTTCCCATACATTTATTTGCTGATCGTGTTTTTGTATTCGGGATTCCAAAAAAGTTTACTAAAATCCTGTAAGTGATTAAAATATGAGTGAAGATAAAGTAGTGTATGAAACTGCATATAACTTAGGTATTAAAACACTCGAGTCAACCTATTATTGCTATCGATAAACAGACTCTCGTGTTTTAATACCCCTTCTTATATGACAGTTGCATAAACTACTAATATCACTAAACTTGGACCGCTTTATAACTATATTCCTAGTGAGATAGTAATTAATCGCTTCCGTATAACTATGTGACGGTATATAATTATAACCCTAGGGCTATAACTATATTACGGCTTTATCTATCTTACTGCGACATGTACACTAGTAATCAAGTTTACTTGATTTAACGACATCCAATGGCAAGATTCACGGCCCACACTATACATATTGCACTTAGTGGGCGTAATCGTCAGTTGACTATCAAAAGTATATTTGCTAGTGGACACTGCACAAGATGGAAATTACGACAGGTAAATAGTTATAGAACTCAGAACTATCAATAAATTAAAATCGATGTAATTGACCTATTCGAGAGATACAATCAGTTTCTGATTTGAGAAAAATACAAAATCTCTTATATTAATAATTATCAATAACAATTTTTTTTTTTTTTTTTACTTTTCACAAAGCAAAAATTCCTATTTTAGGTATATCAAACTGCTATCAAGTGATCACTAAAAATTTAAAATCAAAAACCAGTTCAAGTACAATTTGAGACGTGCTTAACTCAATTCAGAAGCCATGTGTTAGTAGAGATCTAGCCTTGAAAAGCATTGACAGCATTGAAGAGAAAAAGTTGACTATATATTGATCACATCAAATTACACTGGTATCGCTACTGCCTACAGCATCAATCAACATTGTCCAATTTGACTAAACAGTAACGATAAAGGATACAGCACACATCACCTTATAGGTGATCAAAAGCTTAACTCACCTATCCAAAACAGAAAGTAAACACAGCACGCAAAAGAAATAATACGCAGCGACGTAGGGCATAGTGACCACTGCATGGAACGACAGATGACCAGCATCCATGCCATCGGAATAACTGATGAGTAGCAGATGCATCAATGATAGTCCACCCAAGATGCCGTGGCAAGCAGGAGCACAATTCCGCCATGACTTCTGTACTGTTAGAGCCACATCTAAAGGCGTTAAATCTCCCAGTCTGGAATCACAAAAAAAGTCTGAACTTTCACCATTTATTTATCTACTATAATCAAATTTCATTTATTCCCTATAAAACTGGGCACTTATTTAACTAAAAGATTAAATTTAATAGGTAATAACTGCTTATATTTTATTTCAGAGCTTAATATTTTTAAATAATATTTTTAAAGTTGTTTTAGATAAAATATTTAATTTCATCAAATCTTTATATTCTATCAGCAATATATAAATGACATTGAATATAGTACTTCAGTATAAATCTAAGAAATCAATTTTCTTAAATAACCAAATAACAGTCCCAGTTTTCATAATATCTAATTTCATTAGCCAATATCAAGTCTAACATCTAAATAATTCTTAGTGGTAAATTCAAATTAACATATTATAATTAAAATCTTATTAATTACTAGCTTTTGCCCGCGAATTCATCCGCATGGTAAAGTTACTATTATATTGTGTAAAATGCCTGAAATAGTTTTATATTTCCCCTATTTTATCCCCTTAGGGGTGGAATTTATCAAAATTTTCTTAGGGGATGCGAACGTCATAGTAGCTTTAAGCATGCAAAGTTTCAGCCTGATCGGTTTAAAATTGACAAAGTTTCATACAAACTTTCATCCCCTATTTTATCCCCTTGGGGGTAGAATTGATCAAAATCCTTTCTAAGCAGATGCCTACGTCATAACATCTACCTGCATGCCAAATTTCAGCCTGATCCATTCAGTGGTTTGGGCTGTACGTTGATAGACCACTATGTCAGTCAGTCACCTTTGAGTTATATATGTATATATAGATATAACAATGTATATATATTAATGTGCAAGACAAATAGGAGATAATAATAATAATAACCTATATGCCTACCCGTACCTATACATATTCAAAATTGACTAGCTTTTTTCCTGTGACTTTGCCAGTGTAAATTATAGCCTATGTCACCTGCTTAAGACATAGTATCCCATAAGTGAAACAATTTTCATGATTTTATCAGTATTTTTGAATATTATACCATATTAACAAATAAATTTAAAAATTTTACATTGAATATTAGTCTAGATGATAGTTACCTCAAATATTTGTCACCGTCTTCTGTTTGCTGTGAAACTAACATCCTATCTCTTGACACAGCTCTGAAAGTTCCACCGCCTTGTAAGTATATTTTCTCTGGTCTTTGAGAACCGAATGGACCAAGTCTCTCATCATTAGGTGATGTCAGTGGTGATGGTGATGAGAAAGGGTTGTCAATATACTGATCATGGTAAGGCATGTTGGATTCTAAACTTTCCAACATTGTTGTCAAATCAGTTGGTCGAGCTACAAAATTATTTATTTATTAAAATTATCCATATTTTTAACTTTATAATTCTTAAAGCAGAAATAAAAAGTTTATTAAATAATTTATTTATTATAAGACTTGATGTCCAGGGATGGGGATGATGCATAATAAATGCACACATTTATTGTATTCTTTCTTTTTTTCTGATAAATATTGTATTGTGTATATGTATTATAAACACAGTAAATTATTGAATTTATGCAATCAATTACCTGGTTTGGTTGTTGATTTAGTTTTGCCACTTTTGAATACTTTTGGACTCACTTCCCTGCCATTAGCATTACCATCTTGCCTTTCATCTTTGACTTTCCTTTTTGTCTTTCTTGTTTTATGCCGGAGGTCCTTTGAGGTACCATTATTGTTCTCCAGATCATTTGCTTCTATTTCTAATTCACCGCTTAAGGTTACCACCTCATCCTTGTTATATTCTTTCAAATAATCATCGACCTGCAAGATAATACACAAATTCAATAAATAATAAATGGAATAACAACTTTATGTCAACTTTGTATTAAAAACTACACATCATTTATTTCAAAAATAAGATATCTATTATATTTATAAATCTTATATAATTTATAAATCAGATGAAAAATAAATTGTAAATATTTATCTTACTGCTAAGTTACTAATAATATAATTTCAATCTATCCAAACAAGCGTTGGCTATACACTCACTTTTTCTAGAGCACTAAGACTAGACCCAGGTATCTCGAAATCATGTAAATCTCTATCCCTGTGCTTTGAAGAATGTCTTTTCTTTTTTCTGTAAGACGGACTCCTTTTTTCTCGATGACCACTAGTAGGTCGTGACAATGACTTCATGAACTTTTCATCTAAGCCATTCGGATCATGCGAATAAAATACAAATGAAGGATTTTTGTCAGATTTTTTAAACTCCTTTTCAACAAAGCCCAGTATACCTTGTTTTATTTGGTCATGAATAGGCAATTCTATGTCTAGAGACTCGTGTTCAGAATTCACCCAACTCTCGGGGGCTTTGCCCCTTTCTGTTACAATTTCTTCTGTAGCTGGAGCAACTACAATATCTTCTTGAGTGGAATGTCCATTTGATACTTTTCGAGAGCCGGATCTAGATCTTTGCCGATTTTTATGATTTGGTGATGGCGACCGAGCAGAAGTGTGTACTTCAACTATCTCTTCCTTAACATCTACACTTTTACCTGGCTTCATTTTCAAAATATTTGTGACTTCTGTGATGCCGAGTGTCCTTTTTCAACGAGATGCACTATTTTAACAGAAAATCTACATGGCTTTATTAAACTTAGGTTGGTTATTCCATTATATCAAGTATATTATTATTTTCAATGCTTAATTTCCAAAAATAGTTCTAAACAAAGGCTAAATTTATTTTTAAATGTCAAATGTCAAAATATCAATTCAATCTTGCTTAATGACGTCATTGTGACGTCACAACCTAAGAAGAACGAACGCGTTCCAGTCTACGTAATGTAATAAAAATATTAAATGAAATATGTTAACAATGTATAAAACATGTAAACCTTATATTATATGATAAAACAAAAATTCGAACTTTTTAGGGTGGGTCATAAAACTTAATGCAAAAATTATGTTTGTTAATAAAGGAGAAAAAAATGATTTGTGATTTGATTTTATTTATTTTATTTTATTTATTCAGGTATCAAACAGTCACATACAGATAATGTTGAAGCTACTGTTAACAAACAGACCTATAGTACCATAAATTGACAGCATAATAATATCGATAGCAAGCAATGCATGTAAATGGCGAACATCACATAAACAGTGCACCATTAGCAACCAAAACTACGGCCATAGACCACCCATTTTTAAGGGAATGAATGTATATCTCATATGAGCCACACTAATTACTACAAAATTACTATTTAAACAATAATTCCCCTACTCTTGCCTTGAAAACATTAATTGAGATTGAAAAAATATCTATCTCATTCAAAAACCCATTGTAAAAATTACATGTTCTCCTGAGAAAGGTATTCTGCGCATATTTCGTATGACAAAACGCAATACAAAAAGTATCCTTCGAACGTGTTGAGGATCGAGGAACCCTCAGTGATATTTTTCGTAACAAAGCTGCCGAATCAATATGACCGAGAATTAGCTTATACAGAAATATAGAATCTAAGTAGTGTCGCCTACTGGATATCATCATCATCAGCCCATATTCGTCCACCTTCGATTTTCGGCTGTTCGCATCCAGCTCCTGCCAGCCATCTTGCGCAAATCATCGCTCCACCGCGCTTGAGGACGTCCTACACTACGTTTGCCGAGACGCGGTCTCCACTCAAGAACTCGTTTACCCCAACGGTTATCGGTTCTGCGGCTAATATGGCCAGCCCACTGCCACTTCAGCTTGCTAATCCGGTGGACTATGTCGATAACCTTGGTTCTCTGCCGGATCACCTCATTTTTTATTCGATCCCGCAGAGAAACGCCGAGCATAGCCCTATCCTTAGCCCGCTAAGCGACCTTCAACTTGTGGACCAGCCGTGCCGCCTGTGTCCACGTTTCGGCTCCGTATGTCATAACGGGTAGGACGCACTGATTAAAGACTTTCGTCTTTAGGCACTGCGGGATCAACGATGTGAAGATCTGACGTTATTTCCCAAACGCTGCCCAACCTAGCCGAACTCTTCCATTTACCTCACTCTCGAAGTTGTTTCTACCTAACTGCAATGTTTGCCCGAGGTATACATATTTTGGAACAATTCCGAGAACGGCACCGCATACTGCAATCGGTTCCGATAGTACGTGTTCGTTGAACATGACCTTGGTTTTATCCTAGTTCATCCGTAAAGCGATGCGCATATAAGAGCCAGCCAGGTCATTCAGCATCTGTTGTAGGTCCTGCAGATTTTCTGCCATGATGACGATGTCGTCAGCAAATCTCAAGTGAGAGATGTACTCGCCATTGATGTTGATGCCACGTCAATCGAGTCAAAGGCCTTCTCATAGTCCACAAATGCTGGATAGTCAAAAAACACAGGGGCTGATTATACTCTTCAGTCTTCTGTATAATCTGCCGCACTGTGTGGATGTGGTCTATGGTGCCGTATCCACTCCGAAACTCAGCCTGCTCCGGTGGTTGGAATTCGTCTAGTCTTTGCGCAAGACGGTTCGTGACTACTCTAGAAAACAGCTTATAGACTTAGCTTAGAAGGGAAATGGGTCGATAGTTCTTCAGCAGGGTTTTGTCTCCCTTTTTGAAGAACAGGACGACTACACTCCTACTCCACACCTGCTGAGTTCTCCCTTCGAAGAGGACAGCATTAAAAAGCTTTTGGAGCTCCTTCAGTACCGGTTTACCTCCTGCTTTTAATAATTCAGTTGTAATGCCATCCTCTCCAGGGGCTTTTCCATTTTTAAGCTGTCTCAGAGCGATCTCGACTTCTGGCAGATCTTCGGTGTAGTGGCGTGTTAATGTGGCACTAGAATCCTCATTTCCGGGATCAGGTCGAGGTGCATGCGAAGCGTATAACCAGGCATAGAAATTTTCCACCTCTGAGAGGACCGCCGGCTTCGAAGCAACGACTTCCCCGCTTGCTGTGGTCAACTTCGTCAAGTGGCTTCTTCCAAGAGATTGTACGAAAACTTTTGACCCCCTGTTTTGCTCGATCGCTCTTTCTATAGCGTGAGTGTTGGAGCACCGGAGGCCATGTCGTACGTGTTTGCTGATCTCCTCGTTTTGAGCACGTTTTTCTGATGAAGTGACAGGTGGGTTTTCACATCGTTCCTTCATTAGCCCCAAAGTTCTATCCGAAAGCTTAGACTTCCTGCCCTTACGATGCACGTTACAAAATTTCGTACCTTCTTCCCTGAGTATTCGAACCACATTTTCAAGGTTCTCGTCAACGTCAATTGTGGTTTCCATGGCAGCAAATCGGTTCTCAAGATTTGACTGGAACGTTTCAGATTCCATCATGGTTTGGAGTGGAGTAGATCGGAGCCTACATCAAGCGGACACGTTCAGCTTTGAAGTCGATATTCAGAGAGCCTCGGACAAGTCGGCGATCGCTGCCGGTATAAAACCTATTGATCACGGAGACATCTCTGAATATGTGATTTTTGTTCGTTATGATGAAGTCGATCTTATTTTTCGTCATATTGTCGGGGCTTTGCCACGTCCACTTCCTTTGGGGCTGTTTCTTAAAGAACGAGTTCATAAAGAAGAGCCCCTCCCGTTCGAGGAAGTTAACGAGCATTTGCCCCCTATCATTCCTGCTTCCAAATCCATGGGATCCTACTACCGATTCGCCGCAATTTTGTACTCCCACTTTAGCGTTAAAGTCCCCCATAACAACGCTGTAGTGGGTCTTAGTAGTGAAGTGGAGTGCCCTCGATATATCATCGTACATATTCTCCACTTCATCGTCCGAGTGTGTCGAGGTCGGTGCGTACACTTGAACAACCTTGAGGCTATACCTCTCAGTGAGCTTTACAATCAGGTACGCTACCCTGTTCGACACACTGGAAATTTCTACAACGTTGTCAGAAAGGGACTTATTGACGAGAAACCAAACGCCACCTTGGGATTGTTGGTCTCCCTCGCGGAAGTACATTAGGTGGCCTGATTCGAGGGTTATGGTATCCTCCCCCTCTCTTCGGATTTCACACAATCCCAATATGTGCCACCTAATTTTTCCAAGCTCCACCTCAAGTTGAGCCAGATGCGAGTCAAGACGTAGCGTGCGTCCGTTGTACGTCGCCAGGGTCAGTCGGTTGTGGTGGCCTCCCGTAGCCCGGAGATTCTTAGCACCCCCTGCCTCGCCGTTACCATGGTCGCCACCATGACCAGGAATAGCGAGGCCGCCGGGAACTAGGAGACGTGGCCTTTTGTGCCTTTGCATTCGGGGGATATGCCCATAATCGCCACGCTGGGCAAGCGGGTTGGCGATCGCAGTATGGTCCGGTTCTGTGGCCCGCACAAGAAGACGCTGCTGCCCATCTCCTTGGGTTAAATTTCCCTTAGTCGCCTCTTACGACACCCACGGGATGAAAAGGGGTAGTACAATTCTATACCGGTACTACTGGATAGTGATTGTATTTTATGTTTTCCTGCGCTCTCTTCGTAATCATGGCAATAAAAACCAGCTTTGTAATTCAATGATTTCAAGAACTTGTGCTGAACACGTTCTATTCTATCCTTATGAACTGCATACTGAGGGTTCCAAACTACACTACCAAATTCGAGAATGCTGCGAACGTAGGCGCTATATAAAATCTTAAGTGTATTAACATTTTTGAAAACCTTACCCAAGCGAAGGATCAAGCCCAACTGTTTATATGCCTTGGCTATTATATAATCAATATGTAAGTTAAAATGTAGTTTCGAATCTAAAATTATACCAAGATCACGGATTGAATTTACACGAGTTATACTTTAATCAGTAACTCTATAATCAAAGTGAATAGAGTTATGTTTACGAGTAAAAGTTATTATATTACATTTATCTAAATTCAAGGACAAATGATTAGCTCTACAAAAATGTTCAAAATTATTTAAAACAACTGACTTACAAAGTACAGAGGAGTAAGTTTACACCCCACTATGTTAGATACGTATGTTGTTTTTTTAATATAGTCAAATACTATTTATTGTTTTTTTCAGAATAAAAGCAATATGAGTAACTTTCTTACCGACGAACAAGTTGAAAACATCCTAGAAAACGAATACCGTGATGAAGAACTGGATCTACCAGATTCCATGACCAATTTTGAGAGTAATTATGAAGACGCGGCATCAGAACACAGTAATCATGAAACTGACTCTGAAATGGAGCTGGATAATGAAGATTCCCGTGATGGGAGTTCAAATGATGACTTACCACTTTCACGAATTGCATATTATACCAGAAAGAATGGGTTAAAATGGTCAAAATCTCCTCCACCTGTGTCCAGAACTCAAGCTCATAATATTATAAGTCAGCGGCCAGGAATCAAAACCAGCCAGCTGTTGCAAAAATTATTCTAGTATATACCATATCAAAGATATTTGAATAAGCGAAGCTAATTTGTTCCTACTATTAATATTAAGTATTTTGTTTAAGACTGATTCAGAAGCAAATGTGAAAAGACCAGAAAAGTCATGTCTTTTCCAAATTTATAAAATAAATATATTTTCTTAAATAAATGTTGTTTTTTCTTTATTTACAGATTTGTAATATGCTGTCTTAATATATAAAATCATAATCTAAAGTTATTTCTAACAATTACATAATCTTTCTTTAATTTTTAATTGGGGTAGAATTTTACCCCGCGATGTCAGTTGAGTAACAAAAAAGCACTATGTTAGTTGGGGGTTAAAGTCCTCATCCCCAATAGCTATTACATGCTAACTATGAAAATCAAAGGTATTTCGGCATTTCTGCTGAGCGTGGTACCAGGAAACCGGATGGGCCAACCTCCACAATGTGAACGGGGAAAAGGGACTTGGTAGATAATTGTCAGCTACACGCATTAGCACCATAAATCTTTAATTTTCTATTGATATTGATCTAAAGAAATATATTTCAAATAAGCTTAATTTAAAAAAACCAAAGTACATACAATCTACATCATAAATTTACTTTCTTTTCTTGCGGAAAATTGTTAAATACGTGAGTCACTTTGAAGCCGAGGGATTTACCGAGAATATTTACAATAAGTATAATCAGTTGCGCGTATTTAATTGAAATATATACCCTAGGTTACATGAATAGATAGAGTAGCTCGGTGGCAGCGTAGTGGTTAAGCGCCGTGTCCCTAGATCATTGTTGTTAAGAAATTTCGCAAGGTCAGTCACGGGATGGGTGACCAACAAAAAATTATTATCTTGAGCTACTCCGTTAAGCCATTGGTCCCATCTGCATTTGCAGTCGTTAATACCCAACAATTCGCGTTGGGCAAGCGTGAAAGGTCATGGCCCATCTTTCTTAATCATTCATATGGAAGAACTGAAACCTGCAGTGGGGATTTAAAAAGGGCTGATGATGATGATAAAATGAATAGATCCTCTTTCCTTCAATCTTGGTACGTATTAAAAAGAATAAAAAGGTGTTTTGATGCCTCTAAAAAATTGATGTTGCTTACTCAAGTGTCAGGATTTAGTTGTAGGTATTTGTCGACTGAAATTGTATTTAATGATTGCGTTATAGATTTAAAAACAAAGTATCATAACCTTTCAATTACTTAGCAGATCTACATGGACTTTGTATCTTTTCCTTATAGAAACTTGATATTTGAATGTTATAATAAAATTGTTATGGGTGGCGCCGGCCGCTCCGTCCGTCGGTACCAGTTGGCGATTGGACTGCTCAGAAATTCGGAATGTTGCCGACCTTCAAACAACGCCTTAGAAAAGGTTGAGTCATGATCTTAGCGATTTTACACGCACAATTAGTTGCCGTAACATAGGGATGCAGAATATAATAACCTGAGCCTACCTGATAACTCCTTTTTAGAATATTACCTATAGACATTACGTTTGAAATGTTACTATATGTTTGTAAAATATTTCACAGGTAAAACCAGTAATTTTTCAATATAAACGCTACAAAAAACCTTTTTACTAATTTTAATATTTTTTAACGATCAAGTTAGGAGTTATTTCATCTCTATATCTATCCCTTTAAACAGCTTTATCGTTGTTGGAGTTATGTTTGATACTCGTATTTGTCACCACTATAGGAAATATAATTCGATTCTCGTGAGATTGTGAATTACCTAGTCTAACTAACTAACAGTAACGCCGTGATCCGTAATATAAAATTTGACACATAACTTTTTGAAAGATCATACCTAAATCTAATGAAGTCCTCAGGACTAGGGAATGCAATCTCGTTCAAGCGAGATCTCGTTTTCGCGAGATCTCGGCCTTTTTTAGCGAGATTGATCTCGGTCTAAAAATGGGCGAGATCTCGCGAGTTTAACGAGATTGCACTCAAGCATAAAAACGATTTATTTTAAGTGCGGCAGCGTAAATTTATGCGAGTCCGATAATAAGACGAGTTACCGAGATAAGATTGTTGGAGCCGTTACCGAGATTAAAATATAGTAATTGCTCTTTTAAAGGTTTTAGGTAAAAAAATATAATTGCGTCAAGCAATAATAAACACATAAAACTTTATTCAAAATACCGGTATAAATAAATGTTAATTTCATAACAAGCGTAAATCCTGTATTTTTTTCCAAATTTATTCAAATATTGTGATTTGAATAAATATTACAGTACCTAAAACAAAAAAAAATGTACACACAAAAGTGCCAATCTCGCGAGATCTCGTAATTAGCGAGATCTCGCTCGTGTCCCAATCTCGCAAGATTGCATTCCCTACTCAGGACCGATTACTCAGCGCCGAATTAAGCCAGAGCGGGGCCTGTAGCAAATTTTTTGCCTCCAATTGGCTTGCTTGGGATTAATTAAATGTATAATTAAAATAAAACAAATGTCTAACAAATACTCTTTTCTTGAAGTGGAACATTCTTCTCACAATAACTTTCAATGTGAGTATCAACACGCGCCTGTTTGTTTTTTAGGTTTAACAACGTTATGGTTGATATGTTATATTTTAGTCATATATATATCTTTCGTGATGATGACGAATAATCGGAATCAGTAACTTTGCAATCGAAATATAAAAGTCGTTCCTTGCTTTCCGAATAACACACCCAATAATCTATGACTTAAGATTTATTGTCAGTTTATATTTATTCTTTAACAAATGAGTTAAGGCAGAAACGCGATTGTTTTATTTTACTTTTTTTGCATTTGTAAAACTGACTTGAAAAATTAATTTATTGGTCAGACTATAGCGAGGCTCTCAATTTCGCTGGTCCTGCAAAAGTGGGGGGGGACCCAAACGCACGGAGCGTTTGCTACTTTTGCAGCGTGGATAATCCAGCATTGGATCGAGTTGACGATCGTGTTGTTTTCGTGAGAATCTAAGCACTATCGCGACAACAAGCTTTCAAATTAAATATTTTGCAAATATTCTGCTGTCATATCAATGATATCTAGATTTTGGATTTTTACTTCCCGTTTATAATTTTCTAGCTAACTGACTGACAGACAACGCACAGGCTAAACTGCTAGTCATAGATGCTTCAGATTTGGAGGGTACAATCGTCTTATTAGATAAAGATGTACTGAGAAAGAATTTTTGGAAATTCCACCGAGACGGGGCTTAAAATGATGAAAACGTTTGTATGAAACATCTGTGTTTTTTAGATCTATAACGATGAGAAATGGTATTTGATTGGTTTAAGACGTTGGGAAGGTAAGTTATATTTTATCCTGAAACGCATAGGAGTAAGTTTTACAGGAAATTAAAATACGTTAAATTAAATTAAAATACCATAAAAACCGTTTCTTATTTATGCAACTGCAATAAATGTTTTATGATGAGTGCATTTATTGTTTTATTAATATCATTGAATAAATGTATCTAATTAACTATTGTATAGCGATGAAAATATGTATTTGAGTAGTTTTTAATATTAGATTTACATTTTAAATTAATTTTTTTGAATATGTTCAAGTGTAAGTAATTTAATATATGAAAGAACATGGTGTTGAAATCGCGGGATTTTTTTTTGTAAAGGAAATTTTGTCAAGTAAATATGAATGTGTTACGTTTAATAACCTATCTGCGATCGAATATCTAGATTGAAACAGCAAAATGAACAGCTGAAAAGATCCACTTAAATAACCTTAGAAAGTGTTCGCCTATAAAAAAGCTAGAAAAGTTTCATTTTATTATTTTCTTTTTAAATAAACTATTCTTTCTTTAAATAAATCGTTATTTCGTTATATCCTTTTCTTCTTTAAATGGGTGTAAATTCCAATTAAGGGCCGCTACAGCAATCTCGCCCAGGGGGCCAATTCTACTTAATAAATTTTGTATTGTATGTCACTTAGTAGAATAGAAAAACCATTAAAAACTGTAGTTTCATTCGGTTTCGATCCGTTTTCGATTCGATTTAAACAAAATTTATTTAGTAGAATTGGCCCCCTGGGCTCTGAAAGTGCTAAAAGCGGTCCCGCTTACAAGTTACATTATTGTTTTAATAGGTAATATAATATATATGTTGTGATACTGATTAAGTACATAAGTATAATCGTTATAAGTATATGGAAAATTATTCCACTGTTACGTTCAGATTATAAGCAAACATGTTTATCTGGTGTCTATTGTTAGTCTATTTATCGTAAAGTTGACTAACACAAATGTCGTGAAACTTTGAATTCTTACTTAAGGGGACGCACAAATCCATTAATGATAGTAAAAATTATTATTTTTTCACTTACATCTCACCAACATTATATAAATTATCACTTGCAGACATGACTAAGCCGGCTTAAAAAGCCGTTCAAAATGAAAAGGAGTATGCACCTATATCTTCACGTCGTATCCCTAAGGCAGAAAGAACAGAGTGCCACACGGACCTCCCTGCTTCCCAGCCTCCAAGGAGCATAACAACGCAGATTATTTAAACTAATATTATAAAGATGAAAGATTTGACAGTATGTTTATTTGTTTGCATCGATAAGGCTTCGAAACTACTTGTCCGATTTCAAAAATTCTTTCACCTAAGGGTAGCTACATCCCACGGGGTTGACAAATGCTATAATTACGCGTGCGGAGTCGCGGCAAATCAGCTAGTAACTTACACAACAATGCAAAAGTAACCAAAGCAAATATGTGCAATACAAACTGTGGATTCAACATGACGCATTTATTATACTGAATCTCAAACAAGTGGTAATTTGGCCCACCCAACAGTAAATATAAAAGGCAACACTAGTTAACTTCCCCAATCAATAAGAGTAAACTAATCGATACAATAAAATAATCAAGGCATTAAATAAGTGCCGTTAGTTTCTTACACAATATCCCCTCCCCCTGAGGTCGGCGCCCTCTCCCCTGAAGGCCGGCGAAAGGAACTTTCACTAGTGGAATTCGTCTGTCGATACTGTGACGTCACCGTTTGCGCAACGTGATGCAACTTGGGCCACATTTTGTGCGCTTTTTTGTCGACACCGTTTAGATAAATTTCGCATTATTGACTCATTTCTTCCAAATTTCGTTTTATCAGGATTTTGGCATCGAAATCATTCAGCATAACATCATAACATATAATAGTCTTCTATTATATTCGAGTTAAGTTACCTACTTAGACAATAGTTTGAAATAATAACAGAAACGTAAGTTGCAATGACAAAGTCGTCTTATTAACCTAGATTTAAAATATCCGTTATATGGTTTACTTGAGAAATCAAACAAACAAATTTCGTATGGCTATTTATTTTATTAAATAAATTCGTAGATCTAAATTAGTTTGGTCCAGTAATAGTTGTTATTGCTTCAAACTAGAACGCTAACTGCGTATTAAAATACAAACAAAAATCTTTTACGATAATCTCTAACCCGTCACCGGTACCTTAATAACATATAATAATATGTACATTCGGCGGGTACTATACAATCACAATTTTATCAATTTTGCCCCCAATAAAGCTATATACCATGTCTATTTGGCACAAAATTTCTATTTTGAAGGACCCAATTCAAATTTTAAACAACCGCCTCTAGCGATTTCTTATATTAATATACAATTCTGTTTGACGTAACTCGTCAAAGGTTTTATTAATCTAATTCAATATTAATTAAATGATTACAAGAATCTTTAACGATAAAATATCATGAGAATAATCTCTTTTCACATCACTATTAGTACACAACACGTGACTTTATTTATTATTAAATTATGATATTTTTAAATGATGAATTTTATATTCATTTTATTTACAAAACACTTAAACAACTAAAAGTTCATAGAACGTACTAGAAATATATCATAGATATATGGGATAAACATTACCAGCTTTCGACGGAAACGATTGCTTTTTCACAAAAAGAAAATTTCGAACGCATCGTTTGCGCCTAGTCGCTGGTAAAAAAAACCTTACGAAACTAAATAGCGAGCGATCCCGTCCAATAGAATTCTAGAGAAAATTACCTTTCCCGAATTATATGGAGGGATTTAGAGCCTAATAAAACAAGGTCCGAATAGTAGACGCTCGAAAATTCGGCTATGAAACATACTCGGACTGCAATCAGTTTGAGGTGGCGCATCAAACTGATACAGTCGTCGCGACGACCGCATTACCGCGGCGTATTTACAATAAATTATTTACATAACTAAACATCTACGTTTTGGTACTGCACAATTATAAGCAGTACGGGTGACAGAATTGGTAGACAAGCCTCTGACTCCTCTCAGTTTTCTTCATGATGCCTTTCTTGTAGTATTGTCTGATACTCCTCGAAAGCTTGTCGTAGTTCATCGCGGGCCTATTCTTTCTCTTGCCCCACAGTCGAGCAACACGCACCGAATCCTCAATCTTGAAAACACCGTTACCTGCGAAAGTACGACATGAATTAAGCATCGCATGTTAAATTATTCAAACGCTTATCGGACGATCTTTGTTTTGGTTCTAAAAAGCAATGGGATTTTTAAAATTCGGTGCGCAATCTGCGATTAATTTAAACTACGAATGTCTCTAAATTCTTGCCGCGATTTTGCTAAATCTATTTTTGTTTAGTGTTAGTCGGTTATACATAACTTTTAGAATGTGATCTCACATGGATCACATTCTTGAGTTTTTCTTTAAATAATAATTTCAAAGTAGCCAAACTTGAATGTTGTGTTACTATAAAATTCAAACAGTATCTTAGACCGAATAGTAGATTAACTGAAATCTTTCCGAAATCTGACCTATATGCTCCAACAAGTAACTAATTGAAAAAGGACAAAAGAACCCAGCAGCGTCTGTGTTAAAGTCGAAACAATGCGGTTGGCAACTAGAGTCTCTGAGTCTGGTCACGACAAAGAACTAACCTTTAATGTGGTTTCAAGTATTTTATGAAGTACTAAACAGATAGCGAGTAACTGGCTCGCTCACCTTGGTTGTGAGAATGTCACTATTCAAATAAATTTTCCGTCAACAATGAATGCTTTTAATGGTACGTATGCCATACGGCGAATACGGTCAGTATTTAATCAAACCTTCATAAAAGCAAACAAAATTCCGTTCGTTTAATTAAATGTTAAGCACACGACTCCCTCAATATTCAAATTCCATAAAGCATAATGCTTATATGTTTATTAATATTAACAGACACTATAATCGATACAAGTTATTGCGATAATAATACCGTAGCAACAGATTAGCTACAAAGAAATCGACACAAATACATCGAAAATTTGTAATCGTTTACGTGTAGGTATTCAATCATAGCAACAACCGCAGTAATAACAGAGTTCACTTTACAAATTTTACATTAAAATATTATAATTAATGTATACGATATAATAAGATAAGATTATGTTTTAAAAGATCCGATAGTAATCGCGGGTGTTTGCTCAATAATTGGTTCACATCAGGTATTTGCGCTTAGAAAATTTGATGTCAAATTTTAACTACATTACAAGCTATATATAGGTACATCTCGTATTTATGACATACCTTTCAAACAAATACAAACTTTTTTAAACTTCTAGACAAAATATGTCTATTGTGGTGAGTCAAATAATTATAAGATCTATGATGAAACTGTTACTTACTTCTATCTAACCACCGTATCGCTGAACCATGAACATGAGGTGACGCTAATAGCTCCTTTAGGAACTGCCAGAGGTGTATGTGTGTGCTACCAGACTTAGCCTTGCCACCGCCTGGGGCAGCACTTGTGCCAGCCGACTCCGAATCATCATCTGACAGAACAAGACAAATAAATTAATTTTTACCTATGGCAACTTAATAAAAAAGTTTAATTTTCACCAATTTTATCGACGGAAAACCTCTATCGCCACACCCACTACCTAATTTCTTACTAAAAAATTTCCGGAGAGTTATAAAATAGCAACAAAACATAACTACTAGAAAAAGCTAATTCGAAACAACTAAGTTTCCTGGAAATTTTCATTTTAGCACATAAGATTATGATAATTAAATAGTGATACCATGAAGAAATACGTCGTGTGCGACCTTAATCCATACTAAAGATGATGATTGATGTCATAGCTAACGTTCACTAAACAATTTAGGACCATTATGGGGTAGGTAATGTGTCTGACTAGCAGAAAAGAGGTCAAAGTTGTGTACCCAGCCAGCACACATGAGTGCTTTCTTGGAAGTGTAACATTTCAAGTAATCGTTTTCTTGAAGCAACAAGACGAGACATGTCTCACTATAACGTGATTATCCATACCATATTACAAATTAAAAACACATGAAAACCTGTCACCATTATTACTATTAGTCAAAGTAAAAGAAGATCCTAGAGACTTCAGATATCGCTTTGTAAAGAGTTCTCAATATATTTTAGTGAAGTACTTTTAGACTAAACGTTTAGTTTATACTATATCTATTTTCATTCCGCTTGGCCTTCAAAGCCAGATTTGTATACACTCTGACATTCACGAGATTCAAATAATAAATGCGCTAACACAGCCGAATAACCATCCTATCTAAAGAATAGTGTAATGTCGAGAAATGTTACTACTTAACTAGAATAGAATTCACAATTCTACTTAAGAGACAAACAATAAAATTGACATTAAGGGTGCATCTATCTTAAGAGCAGTGATTGAAAACAGTAAAGTATATAATAAAGAAACACTAAACGAAATGATTACACTACAGGCAAATAGCCTATTGGTTTGGAAAATTGACAAGTCTGTTGAAGTTTTGATGCATTATAATTGGTGTTCAATGTAAGTAATAAGATTTTCTTTGTGAAATCGTACAACAGTTTATGTTGGTTTATGCGACCTTGCAAGTCCGGTGGCTCTAGTAATACAAAGTGGGTCGTCGGGAAACGGCACAAAAAACTCACCTACACGTATAAGGTTGATACTTGTACGATCTAAAGTCTAGAGTAGGAGAACGACAGAATAGCAATGGGATCGAGAAGTCTTGATTGATAGATTAACTGTGACTGGGTGTGGTATGTTCAGATAACATTGAATCTAATCAACCATTTTGTAAAATGTTGGTCATTGATTTTAAATCAAACTTCTTATATAAAAAATATGATATATACGTAGTACAATTTGTTGCATTTGTAGCCAAACAAAGGGCAGAAACAGGGTTTGTGACATATTTCCCTGGATTTTTAATCACATTGAAGATATAAATATGTTTAATTATGACTTAAGCCATCGTTTTCTCAAGAAGCTCAAATAGCATTCACTATACTGCGACGTAAAAGGAATAATTGTAGATTGCGATTTCCTGTGTCGCATGTTGACACTTTTTTTGTGAGCTCACCGTCTTGTGGAAAGTGGGCATTCTAGAATTCATTCTCTATCGAGACTTATTTGAATTTTAATGTCCCGTTAGTTTAATATTTTTAATAGCTACTGTTCGAATCCCATCTCGGGTATTGGGCCATTGTTTAAGACAGATATATACTACTTTTTAATTTTGCGACACAAATCTTGACTTAGAATATTTTATTATCTTTATCTAATCTAGTATTTCTGTATCTGAAAATTTAAATATTTTTACAATTTTCAATCATATTAATGTAGTCTTAGACTTATTAATAGTGTGTCACATAAGTCATTTATAAAAAGTGATTAATTTAATTTAAACACATCGATGGCTAGTTACCCGTGGGTTTCATCACCTAACGGTTAATACTAATATATCATCGACCCACATCACGTCGATATACGACAGGCGATCGCCTTTTTCTTCGACTTTGACTTATCTAGATTATGCTTTATCTATTATACATTAATCTGCTATCTGAATCATGTGACTGGTACTTTAATATTTTAACAAGCTTAACGATATCAAATATTTGTGAGGTCTTTAATGAATCGAGACTTTTTTTAACTAGAGATAAATACTCATTAGTAGAAATTTTGTGACACATTTGATTATACGGTTACTTGACCATTGTTTTAAAGAAAATAGATATTGAACCTATTGTTACTACATAAATAAAACTTCCATAAAATCGTATTTAAATCACACATAAAACAGTATGCTGTGTAGAATGTTTGATATAATGATTTTAAAACCTTCCCCATAATTTCAGATGTAAACTTTGACATGCTTGCGTAATTATAGTATGTGTATTATGTATTTTTTTATTACAAAATGTGAAGTAACAAACCGTCGCTCATATCATCGGCTGAAGGCAGGCCGGCGGTAGTGGGGTTCGGCGAAGTCTGCTGTTGCTCAGACCAATGTGACGTCCTCCACGCTTCATGCCTTGCTGCTTTCCAGATTTCTAATTGGGCGTACAGTGTGCTACCAGCCTAAAACAAATGTTTTTTATTACAATATAGATTTTTTTCTCATTTATTAAAATTAAATAAAATATTTTTTTTTTTTTTAAGTTTGGTACAGGTTAAATAGTTTTTGGGACAAAATGGGCACATTATTTAGATTGAATGTTAAAAAAATAATTTAAATAGCAATTATATATTGATTGCTACAATTTTTATTGGTTTTCGCAACGACAGTGTGCACTTTGTATGTATCATGAGGAACGTGTCTTGCGTCGTCGCCCAGAGACTTTCATCGGCCTTGGAGAAAGTCTGCGACTGTTCCAGCGTATCGGCGCATGCCGAAACAGAAATAAGGAACCTATTCTTATTGACTTAGGGATCCATTAGGAACAAAAAGCAATAACACCATTTACAGTGCATCTTCTATTAACCGCTAACTTACAATTCGACGTAATACAGTGACAAAGATATATATCTACTTTATTAGTTGTTTGAACACTATTTATCTTTTCCTAAGATTGTATTGTTGTAGTAAATAAATTTGTCTAACTCGCCAATTCCTTTACAGAGTAGGCAAAAATGTTGGAATTCATGGTTTCTACATAAATCATAACTCTTTTTTTTCTGAAATGACAAGTCAAATCATCCAGAAATTATTAATTTACATGATCTACGTAAATTTACCAAAAACTCGGAATTGTTGTGAAACTAATAATACGAGTAATTTCAACCTGACACTATTTTTAGGAATTACTAAAAGGAGGATATCCAAAGAGTATTTATTATGCGTGACATAACAGTCAAATTATAAAACGTTATCTTGTTTACAAACAGCCAATGTGAAATGAAATACGTTGCATAATTATTAGTAACCTAGTTAACCTTAACGGATTTCCTGAGGGTGCTATCGTAACAGTAGTACTTGCTTATGTCATCGTAGCAATTCAAAGCATCATGACATACTAATATATAGAACGCAGTTTTCAACCAAAGTTAAGATAAAAGTAATTTACCAGTTACTCTTTTTAAAGAGAGGGAATATTGAAGAATTAAAAAAAAATACAATAACAAATTTAAGTCATGAGTAATCGAACTCATTACTCAAATCATCAATAACTAATTTTATCAATGTCAAACAACTTAAAAAATAAATTATCATGTTGTTGGAGCAACAAATTAGATAAAGAATACTCATGACTTACTAAGCTGTTAAGCTTTTATTTATCGACTAATATTTTGTGTAGTTAGGTACTATTAGATTTGATTCTTCGATATTACAATTAATAATGTACCTACTGATGACATATTACGAGTATTAATAGCATGTCTTACTTTAATTTATTATCCTATACCATTAAAATCCACACATTTAACTTAATATTTTAAAATTCAACTTTATATTGATTAAATAAATGATAATAACTCAGCTTCAGAACTAAGACGAATGAATAATTTTCTATTATGGTCGAAGAACTAATGAATATGGCAAAGGAACACGCAACATAAAGAATGATGTAAGCTAATCGCAGTCAAAAAACTTAGGAAGCAATTATCGAATTGGATGTTGATGATCTTAAGAACATATTTTATTGACAAGACTGAATTAATAAAATAAAACTATTCCAAAAACTGCCGCTGGGTTGTCGAAACACCACTTTTTGTTACTCCTAAATGAAACGATTCTTAGATAATATTAAAACTGTTTATATAATATTATATTTTCTTACATTGTTGAATTTTTAATGTGACTTTTATAACCGTTACAGGTCATCGGTTCATTTAGTTGTAAGTCGTGTAAACAATATACAAGTTTATCGTTCACACATGAATCAATATTTCAGACTTTGCTCTCATATCGAATGCCCTCGTCCACTCCCAGGGTTAACTGATTATTTACTATATGAGAAACGGCTACGTGTCTCCAATCAATGTTGAGGTGAATATCTTTGTTATTACGATTTATAAGTTTGAAATAAAAACAAAACTCATAATAGATAGTTGTGAACTATTTTTGATGAATTAATTTTAATTTGAATGACTATAAGTTTGGATATTGTTATTATACAAACAGACGTCTAAATAAATAAATCCACAATAATATTACAAAATCCTATATAAAAATACTACTACTACATACAACACCTAAGCAGAAACCAAAGTGGCACAAAATATAGAACCGCAAAAAGAACTAAAGCTTAAATTTAAAATTAGAAATATAACCCAAAGAGAAAGAAGCAAAGACCAAATGAACTCATTGGACAATCTTCTAGAAGGACTGTATAATGAAATAATAAGAAATTGTTTACTTGAATACCAATGAGTCAGTATTGCACCGAATTCATACGATAACAAAATTTTTCAATAATATAAATGCATCATGTACAGATTATTTACCTGAGGTGCTCTATGATTAAAATCTTCTTCAGTCAACGCCATAAGTGCCGCACCATCCATAGCAAAGTATTCCGCTGGTACCATGGGAAGGTTAAAATGTTGTAGTGTAAATATGACCCACGAGTTAACGTCACTTGTGCTCCATAGCATAGGATCTGTAAATAATGTCATTATTTGTAACTACTGACTTCGATTCCACATGCTTAACTTAAATGAGATTTTTCTTAAATTACTGCGTGAACCGCTATAGTTTGAATGCAGTCTATATACGATATACCGAAGTTTTTATGATGTGTTACTTTTTAAATTATCGAATTTAGTCTCAATCATTCACGTAGAAACATAAACATTAAATATATGATCAGCTTACGTAACCAACCATTCGGTCCATGTTCTCAGAATCCATTTATAATCGCGATGTGCTTAAGCAGTAGCTGACACGTTATCTACACAGAAACGTTCATCTTTTTTACTGCGTTGAGGTCACAGTGACGTCATTGATAATTGCTTGGCTAATAGTATAATACTATTGATGTCAAGAAATACGGCTACTGCGTTCCCATGTCATGTTATTTCATATTCATCATGCATATTCAACATACATTCTTTGTGTATGTGGACGTGATTATTCACTCGTATTTGCCATTTATAGATATTCGTCCTTTAGTAAAGTTCGTATGACTAATATGATAGAGATTTGTTTCTGCGACTCACCTGGTGAAATTCCTAGTACGGTACATGTGTTGTCCACATCTCTCTTGGATTGTTCGATGGCCATAGAGAGCACGCGGTCGATGTCCGGTGCAACGAGAGCTTCGTCACCTCCACTGCTTTCTTCCATTTTGATAGCCCCTAACTCCAAAGGTATAGGTTTTAGATTCAATCGTTTTTGGAATGTTGTATCTTCAAGAGCTGATCTGAGTAGTATGTGGTCCCGCGGTTCTTCTACTTCTATTTTTGGAGTAATATAATTGTGTTGTACACTTTCTTGTAAAATTTGATTCTCTTTTAATAATTCTTCAATATCAATGTATTCTTCGTGTTGTGGTGCTGGAGAGGAATATTGATTATGGCTGCCATATGACGCGCAAGATTCTGAAGGAGATAAAGGATAGGGAGATGCAAAGCCGGGGACTGCCAGCCTGTTGGGTTCCTCTTTGATATATACGGAAGAATATTGTTGAGTATTGTATGGTGAAGATGGTTGTAAAGCTACTGTTGGTATTGATCCTTCGTCCGATGAGGGGGAGGGAGAGGGGTATCCTTCAAAGTCGTAAAGACGTTCTAGGATGTTAGTATCTTCTGGATAGGGAGGTGGTGGCGGCTTAACGTGTGTGTGAGGAGAATGGAGCATGGGTTCTGGGGGAGATGCAGCGCCGAGGAAGCGCAACAAATGCTGAAGGTCTGCAGGCGATCCGGGTACGGCTCTCTCGCCTTGTGACGCCGACGGTGGGCTACACCCAGACCGGGGTACTGTTTGTGGCATCTGTTGACAAAGAAATCATCGGATTAGCTATCTTGAAAAACATTCTTCAGTTGTTCTATTTTCGTGATTGATTTCCAATTTTACTTATGACCTATATATGTGGCATATAAAATATTTCTTATTAGTATATCTTTGTACCAATAGGAACTTAAAATTAGACTGGACATTAAAATAATATTATAAATACAATGAGCATAAAAGTGTGATTATCGGTAATAATTATTTTCCCGCACTTTATATTAAGTCTATACGTGCGTACGTCACTGGTCACCATCGCTTGCTTGCGTCATGGAGTACTTGCAAAAATAACGCCAGATGTCATAAACATCTTTAGCCTGTTTATTTATTTTAACGCCGAAATAATCCTAAATTGAATCCGTAAAATAGAGATGAGACGGATGACTAACTATTAAACGTTTGAAGTGGAAAGAAAATTAACTATAAGTAACAAATAATTTTAGCGTTTTAAAGCGATGACTGAAATTATTCAAACCTATTACTGGGTAACCACAAAGTTTCTGAATAATTTGAAACTAAGTATATATAAAAAGATAATCTATTTTATATTAGTAATATGGTTAGATACTCTTATTTTTTTACCTACTGCATATTTCTTTGTAATAACTCACCCTTAACAATGACAGACCCATCGCACTGGCCTCTTAAGTATTACTGAACGGGTTCCACAATTGTTCCCGCCATGAAAACTTCAGACTAAACCGGTCTGTTTAGATTATCAAAGAACATACAAGTTATCAGGAACCAGAAAAAAAGACAATAGCATCTATTTATGTATAACTACACGAGAATCTTATAATTATTGAATTGCATGTTATTATAAACTTGTTTCAGGATTAATTAGTGAGATGCGATGAACACTAGAAAATTTCTATATTTCCTCGTCTCTTGGGCCTAAGTGAGGGTTCGGCAACCTTTTCAGACGAAAGAGTTAAAAGCTACAATTATAAAACAAAAAATAGTTTCCAATTTATTCAAATCGTATATGATATTTTATTTAAAACAGACTAGACTTTGAATATCTATCGCTCAGTCCTATCTCATTCGTACCTAATTTAATATGGGTACTGAACTTTGGATCGATTAGATGATTTACGGGGTTTTGACAGTTACATATATTTTGTAACTGGAACTAGACAGCCGTTACTTTATACCGAAAGAGCCTCAGGTCACTTTTTGACATCGGATTTCTAGACTTAACAACTAATTTTAAAAGCTAAAGTATATGCCGTTACTTACTTTAAAGTCGTGTCAGCTATCATTTGGATATTTTCGTTAAAATAATTCAAAATTATGATGAAATTTATGTTTTGAAAAAATTTAAAAATACTTTACATTTCTATCAAATCTGGCATCTTTTATTCACTTTTACAGATATTATAATTATTTTTTAATTATTTGTCAGTGATACGGATGGAAGAACATAGTTTGGAGGTTTTTTTCATCAAATTTCAGCAGAATTTCGAGGTATAAACGTAAACTATGTTTGAAAATTAACTCACACTTAAGTATAATAGAGTCGCCTAGCGGAGCAAAATCAGATATCAAATAATAATTATAACTAATATTTTTTTATATAATTTTTTAATTTTTACATTCCTGGGGAATATATATAAGAGCCAAAGTTTACAGTCAGTTAAAGACACTATATTAGTACTTTATTCTGTGTTCATATAATTTCATCACTTTATATGATATGTAACTTAGCAGTTTTATTTAATCGGTTGGTTGTAGACGTTGACCTCTTAACTATTTGGTTTATGATCCCTTTAACATATTAAATTATAATAGCTGGATCTTCACTAATGGTACTATTATTTTATAACACAGCTAATATACATATTATGTCAATTTTCCGCAATTAATTTCTCTATTCTAGGACTATATTCTCAATGAATTAAGGTTAAAAATCAAGTGAAGCGACAGTTTTGTAAAACCTGACGCGTCGTTGACTGTACTTTGCAGGAATCTAAATTTTGGAGATAGACAAATCATTCCTAACAGAATGATGCATGTAGCGTGAATGTGATTATGAAACCTGATAAAGTATATGATATAATATAATTTACGGGACAAAAGGTTGAGGCTGATTTGGGAATTTGAGAATTTATTATGATAGTTTCCGATGTCTGGTGGTCACAATGAGAGATACACATAGAAAAATGTTATTTGGATTTTACTATTCATTCAATGGATTAGGTACCACTTACTACTATCTTAAACGGTTTTCGTCAATAACATCGTAAAATATTAATTGGGTTGATGACAAGTTTACTTTGATGCATATGAGACGACATTTTAAGATGATTTTAATTACATTTGATTTCTGTCACACTGATAACTATCACGTACTATTTATGATTGTATAACAGTGTTTCATTCATAAAAATTCTCATTAGCGTAGTACCTATATAAAACTACTAGCTTTTGCCCGCGAATTCGTCCGCGTGGTAAAGTTACATTGAGCAGCATTTCTAACGAATATTTATTCATTATATCATGTAAAATACCTGAAATAAAGTTTCATCCCCTATTTTATTCCCTTAGGGGTGGTTATAAAAATTCCAAATTCCTTTCTTAGGGGATGCCTACGTCATAGTAGCTTTATGCATGCAAAGTTTCAGCCCGATCGATTTGAAATTGAAAAAGTTTCATACAAACTTTCATCCCGTATTTTATCTCCTTGGGGGTAGAATTGATCAGAATTCTTTCTTAGCGGAAGCTTACGTCATAACATCTACCTGCATGCCAAATTTCAGCCCGATCCGTCCGGTGGTTTGGGCTGTGCGTTGATAGATCACTATTGTCATTAATTAGAAAATAATTGCATTTTTTTTATCTGATGATTAAATTTATTTTATTACTCATAAATTATTTCTTACAAAAACGTACTTGAAAACAAGGATATGAATCCGAGACTGTTCACTGACCGACCCACTGTTCTACCGACTACGCTTCTTCTAATTTCTCAAGTATATATTACTGAGCTCATTTCCAATTTTCGGGAAGCTACCTAATCAGACACATCTGAATGAACCATTTTTATAAATAACTTTAATTTTTATGATATTATAAATGTAGTTTCACCAAACGGAAACTACATCATATATGTTGTAGTTTCCGTTTGGTTTAAGATATTTTAAAATCAGTCCACTTGTTTCAAACTTTATTCAATGCAAACAATAAAATCATTCCTCTTTATAATATTAGTATAGAATAATGAACATAAGAATCGTTTCTATCGAAATATTCTTGTATTATATTAAAACAATTGGTTACTTAGAAACAACTTTTTTGCATTACGCATTTTTTCTTTTAAACAACCACCTTCAAAGTCTAGTGTCAACGAAAATAAACAGGATCAGATTGATGACCGCCTAAAAAGCGGACAATGATGGTGACGTCATCTTATTGTACTCAGTAGTAGAGTAATGGATATTCGCAATGACTATATACGAATGCAAGTCTCTATGTTTCGACAAAACCTTGGGGTTTTCACGCAGGCGCAGCGGACCATGCTCTATGCTACCGAACGCAGACAATAGGCCTAATACGCAACAGCAGTCGTCTCTATCTTATAAAGCGTATATCCCTATGTCGGAGCGAGATAAATCAATTATTGACAGGGCATGTAGCTTGAATGGAACGCCGCGTTGTGAATGAAGGTATGTGACCTTAAATTTATTTACGTCTGGCTTAAATTATAATGTAACTATTAGTGATTCTAAGTGATATCAGTTCGTGATACCGGAATATACTAAGCCGGATCAATGCTAAAATAACCGGTATAAAGAATTTATCTGTTTATGGGTCGTTTGTAGACTGCATAATTGTGTCCTTTATGTAATATAAATATTAGGTGGCCATTAGAATTTGAATTAGAAGCATCATGTTTTACACAGAACCGCGAATAATCAGTAACTGTTTTGTTACATTATAAAGTTTTAAAATGGGCAAAACTTTGCATAATCCGACAATAACCACTCGAGTCTCGTCACTAGATGTCTGTTTGAGATTAAATTTAATTGTCCGTTAGATTGTACACATAACGAAACTTCAAGTATAACAATTTAACTGCAATTATGACACTTATTACAATGACATAAGAATAACATGCAATCAGATATTCACTGCTAACTTTCTGTACATTTACAGTATTACGGGAGTGAGACAGATGGAAAAGCTTTTGGGTGGGTAGTCAAACGGATATAAAATATACGAAGATGTTCTGAAAATTTAACGTTACTTAACATATAATATCGTTGCTTAATATATGATCAATAGTACTTAATTCATCTATTTAGGGCTACTTATAAACCTATTTAAAAATTCAATACGATAACTTTTACCGATTGAATCGAGAAACTCTTTAATAAGTGGAATGTTACTGTCTACCACACAACCATCTTACCTAACGCACAAACTCAACTCACTTGATAAAACAAACTTTCACCCTCCATATTAAGTCAACTTTAATGTCACTCCAATATTTTTTTAAACAAAAACCGCACTCACACGATCACCTGCGAATGTCAAAGCTTCGTTGCACCACTGTCGTCGCGACCATGTTGATATATCAAAACAATGAGGTTAACTAGCCGGCCGGCGAAAAACAGCTCAATGTTGGACTTTATTGACAACGACGCTAAATTCTTGGAGGTTATCTTAATTTATTTATGATTATTCTTTTTTTTTTGGCCGATGAGTGCGTGTGCGCGGCGGATAGATCACACAGCCACTGAGTTGGGCGCGAGCGCACGGACTCTTGTCTCAATGAACGCCTGCGTCACAGCGGGAAGTACGCTCAAATAAACTAATATAGGACTTTTAATAGAGCCTACATCGGAACAGTTCAATACGTCAGTATTCATTTAATTATGTTACTATGACGTCTGCATTAACAAAATCAATGTCCAACTCTATTGTTGATTTTCCATTTATTTGATGGGTCGGCGCGTGTTCAATTAAATTTGTTAATATCC